TGAACTGGTCTTGAGTCTCTGTGCTGTAGACCCTGAAAGACACCACAGACACACTGTCACACTGGGGCAGCTGTACTGAGCACAACACTGAGGACGGGATTAGACTGAACTAATAGATATACTGTACTGAACACAACACTGAGGACTGGATCAGACTGAACTAATAGATATTCTGTACTGACCACAACAGTGAGGACTGGATCAGACTGAACTAATAGATAAACTGTACTGAGCACAACACTGAGGACTGGATCAGACTGAACTAATAGATATACTGTACTGAACACAATCAGCTGTGATCTAGGGGTCAGAGAGAAGGCTGGAGTTCAAAACGTCCTTGGACTGCATCCCAGCCAGACTTCTGGAAAATACATTACCAAATGGATGTCACTGACCTCTACTGGTCTGGTGCTCTGTCATGGAGCTACTTCAGAGCATGGTAGTGCACTCAGCAGTACTCACCTATGTCTCAGAAGGATACTCTCCCTGAATTACTTCTAGTCTGTCAGCATCAGACCAGTGGCTCAGTTCCCTCTGCCAGAATCCCAGTGTGTGTCTCTCCTTTAGACTTCCACTCCTACCCAGACCCTGATCTCAATTTTACTTCCTGTCTCCATTCTGCTTTACCCATCTCCATCCTTCCTCCATTTAACTTTCCTCTTTGACTCTACCAGAGTGTTGATTCACACCCAGCCCTAGAGGACTTTCCATTTGTTTTAGTTTGGATTCACAGTTGTTTTTCTTCAGCAAGCCACAACAACACAATGAAGTGAAGTAAAGCCAAATGAATCCTGGTAATTAGATGAGATGTGATCCAGATCTGATGTTTTCAGGGGTTATGGGGCACAACCAACAGGGATTTCAACCATAGAAAAGCCAATAAAATGCTTCAGCCTCAAGTCTTTTACAAAAACACAACCAAACTATTTGACACACAATTTTAAAAGCAAGAAGAAAGTAGCTAATGCTTCGCAGATGAGACTCTTTAGACAGAAAATGAGCAAGCCATTTCCGCAAGGCATCCTGGGACATGTAGTTCTCCATCTCTCCTGTACAGAGGAAACTACATTTTTTTAAAGAGACGTGGTCAACGAGGGTTGAGACTTCATAAAACTCAGAATACCCTCCCTCTATGGCCCTGTCTTACATTTTGTCACACAGAGTAAAGTTAAAGTCAAGTTTATTGCCAAACCAACCTACAGGCTGTTAGGAATTTTTTGTGGTGCTCTTGACACCTTGAATTACAGACAGATTCAAGAATAACAGTGAAGATGGAAATCCAAACAATTACCAAATACTATAAGAATTAATAAGGTACTGTAGCTGCTCTTTCTGAGCTGCCTAGGAACATAGAGCCCTTGATGGCTTTCTTCACTCTCTGGTGTGCATTTCAAGGTGAAGGAAATTGTTGTGCCAGCAAACCTGAAGGTGTCGAAACTCTCTACGACCTGACCATCAACCACAAGAGGATGGAATTTATCCTGTCACGTGTGAAATCAAAGAGGACATGGAGACTGAGTTGGAGAGTTTCTGATTGCACCAGCACACCAAACCTCCTTCCTGTAGGTAGATTTGTCTCAGTCTCTACAGTGATCAAGGTAGAATGAAGGTGAATGAGGCCGCTGGCCACTGAACTGTGAAACTCCCTACTGGAGAGCAGCAAGGGTATGTATAACCACACCCCACTGTGCAGCCAGTGCATGAACTCCAGCACACTGACACAGCCCAGTCCCAGTGCTCTAGACTCTTTTAGTCCCTGTGGAGACCAGCACACTGACACAGCCCAGTCAAAGAGCTCTAGACTCTTCTAGTCCCTGTGGAGTCCAGTACACTGACACAGCCCAGTCACAGGCTCTAGACTCTTCTAGTCCCTGTGGAGTCCAGCACACTGACACAGCCCAGTCACAGGCTCTAGACTCTTCTAGTCCCTGTGGAGTCCAGTACAGTGACACAGCGCAGTCACAGGGCTCTAGACTTTTCTAGTCCCTGTGGAGTCCAGGACACTGACACAGCCCAGTCACAGGACTCTAGACTCTTCTAGTCCCTGAGGAGTCCGGGACACTGACACACAGCCCAGTCACAAGCTCTAGACTATTCTAGTCCCTGTGGAGTCCAGGACACTGATACAGCCCAGTCACAGGCTCTAGACTCTTCTAGTCCATGTATGGTGCTGTATACTGACTAATTCACGAGATGTGAAAAACTGTATTTTTTTAGTAGATTAAGATATTTTATCCATCACTTGATCAGTTAAGATCAATCAATAGGTATGATGATACCATTCTATAATTGATGTAAGAGTATATAATACCTGCCCTTTTCTTCATTTGTCTAATTTATGCATCATCCATTCATACATGTTATTCCTGTATTATTTTCTTTTCACCAAATGTCACTGTGGTCTCCTTAATTTGCATAATTTCCATAATTTCCCTCTCAGTGGCTGTTAGGTCCAGAAATTGTCTGTATTGTTCAGCAGCAGGCAAATGAGCTGTGATACTGAGAACTGGGAGGGGATGGAGCAGGGTTTGTGTGGGTGGGGTATGATTTCTACAAGTCAAGTTCACCAGTTTCTACAGGACTGAACCACACTTCCTTTAACACTCGCAGACGAACATATTAATGTGTAGGTTCAGCAGAATCCCATGGCTGCTTTACTGTCTTATTGTCAGCCAAAGATCTCACTGATCAGATCAATCAAAAAAGCTAATCCTCATCGATAACCTCTTGCAAAAGAGTTTCCAGAACTCTCACAGCAGGCAGAGGGTAGGACAGTCATCTGGGACTCACTCCACTCTGACTGCCCTCTAATTGCTTTAGTAAACTAATGATCCAGCATCAGCCTTGTACTAGTTCAAGCCCTGTAGTCTATCACTACAGGTGATGGTCTGAGGAGAGCTCTGAGAAACTGCTGGACTGCTGCCCTTGAGGACTGACTCCAGAGAGAGCTGCTGTCCCAACACTCCTGATCCAATAAACCACCAGGATCATACTCACATCTGACACTGAGCGTGACCGCAGGGGAGGGCAGGTTGTCGTAGCCTCTTGCAGTGCAGGAGTAGCTCCCATCATGCTCGTAGCTGACAGGGTTAAAGGTCAGGGGGCTGGAGGGGGTCTGTGCAGGGAGGAGGAGACCGTTCCTGTACCAGGTGAAAGTGGGGTCACTCAGAGTGCAGCTGGTCTTACAGGTCAGGTTCACAGCCTGCCCCTCTGTTACTGTGCTGGAGTTCACCTGTGCCTGCAGACCTGCGAGAGAATGAAAGAGAATTAAATTACTGAGTTAAACTCAGCTCTCCCAGTGATCAGTGTTACAGTGACCCTGTACAGTATATGATCACTTCCCTCGAGTGAGCTGCAGGACTGAGATACGCACTGATGATCTTCAGTGTTGCATAGATATTTACCTTTTCTTATAATCTGTACCTTTAAATGAAATTCTAGTTTTAGAATTTGTGATTAAATTTAACAAGTAACAGAGCAGCAGCTTTTACTTAACCAGAAATAACAGGTTCAGATAATCTACACAAATAAATCTCCTTTTCAAACATACAATGGTCATTCTAATGAAAAAAATACAATCTTGTAATCTAGTGAAACAGTTACTTCATGTATCATGATCAGTCATCACTAATTAATAAATCAAAACAACAAAAACATTCAGTTAGGATCCAAAATCTATCAAATTCATTCTATTAAAACATAGTGTGACCTTGACTGTTGTATAGACACTGGATCTCCTTAGTATTGATAGGGCTGATTGAGCCCCAAGGTGATTTAAGCTGTTGAGTCTGTCGTGTTATTTTAATAAGAATATTGTGAACTTGTTAGTTTATTTGAAATCTCAGCATTCCTTACCAGAATGTCAAGTTTTTACAGTAGCACTGAAGTAAAACACAACCAGTGTAAAAGCATATGAATTGAGAATTAAAATATTTTTGACACTCAGTAGATACTGTACACTGTTTGATTTAGAAAACAGGTTTGACCATTTAAACTTGGTTGAGGTTTAGGACTGATATTAAGGTAAATGCCTTTTTGACAAATGTGATTGTTTTGTTTTTCTCATCCCACAGTGCTATTGTGCTGTTGTGACGGTATTTTTACTTTACTGTCAACATGTGCAGTTAGTGAAGAATGTATGTAGCATGAAGAGAGTCTCTACTGTACCTGTGACTGAGAGTGACACTCCTGGTTGTCCTGTCCATTTACCCCCAGCTGTGTTTGTTATAAACTTAAACCAGTAAGTTGTGCTGTCACTTGTTGTCAGGTTCCTCAGTCTGAGGGTGCAGTTGTTCACCTTATTCCCCAGGTATTCTGTACGGTTCACATACTGAGGCACAGCAGACAGGTCTGTGGGTTCAGTTGGGTACACTGGTTTCTCTATAAACCAGAATGTTTGTGTCACAGTGTTATCTCTGGGGTAACTGTAGGTGCACCCCATGACCACCGTCGACCCCTGCAGTGCACAGATACTCCCAGGGTTGTACCACACCCCCCAGTTCTGACTCAGGACACCTGCAAGACAGACACACACAGCCCTGCTGGTGAGGACCTGGAGCTGCAGGGAGGGTGAGAGTCTGACAGGACAGCAGCTGGGCTGTCTGACTGCTGTCAGCCACAGTAAATACGCAGGACAGAGCACAGTGTAAATAACTGCACACTGAATCCACTGCATTACTCTTCCTTACTGATCTGCTGGGCTAGTAAGGGGATCCAGAGCAGGAATCCTCTCCCCCTGCTCCTGTGGAGAGTCGCACTGCTCTCTGGTTTCTGGTTCAGCAGACATCACAGTGACCTGACAGGACCGAGTCATTGACCCAGAGAGTGGATTTTATTCTCATTTCATTACAATAAACAGCAAACCTCCATGAGAAGGTGACAGTTCTGCTTTTTCAGCCAGCTTGAAGCAAAAGGAACTGCTGCACAGTGAACACAGGGAAGCAGGGTGATGAGGACATGAACCAGGTTGCTGTTATCCAGATGTCTGATCTGTTACAGGTCTTACCAGCTGCAGGTCCGTCTGTGAGCAACACTCATTGCTGGAAGTATCAAACCTGTTACCTCCTCTCTGAGCACATGTCCACTGACAGGCGTGTGAAGTGAGCTCAGTATTAATCTCCCTAACTGTCTGCTTCATCAGTGTGACTGATCTAACAGCCCTGCAGCTCCCAGTAAAACTGCAGGGTGGATCACACTGCTCTGCAATGGGAGGGATTTCTCTGTCACCAGCGATGTCTTTGAAAAGTGATGCAGATTTACCTGGAATAAGAACAAGGGCAGCAAGTAGCACACTGACTGCAGTCTGGACAGACATTTCTTCCACGTCAGTCTGTAACACAGGAGAGTCGAGAATATGTTAGTGGTTCTTTTGTTCATATAGTCAGGTGAAACACATTCTGTGTGGAGTCTGCATGGACTCTCATGTTGTCTTCAGGGGTTCTGATGTCTTCTCCTTCTCCCCAAAACATGCTGGGTGTGCAAATTAAAGTCTCTGATACATCTGAATGCAGTTTAGTGTGTGTTTACATGTCCTGCAATGGCAGGTGTCCTACCCAGGACAGAGTCCTGTGTCCTGCAATGGACAGGCGTCCTACAGAGGGAGGAGTCCTGTGTCCTGCAATGGACAAGCGTCCTACAGAGGGAGGAGTCCTGTGTCCTGTGATGGACAGGCATCCTGCCCAGGACAGAGTCCTGTTTTGCACCCTGAGCTCCTGCAGCTCCTCCCAGGAAGAGGAGGCTGTGTGATAAAGGATGTGTGGGGAATAAGAAGAGTAATGAACTCAACCTCAACCTCGAATGAACACGTGAAGTGAATTTAATGTGAAATGAACAGTAATGTGATGTGTATTATAGAAGCTTGTCTTAACTGTCTGTAACAGAAAACATCTTATTAATGGTAAATACACATCTTATATACTGTATGCCTTGTGCATATGATACATAAAAAGTACAGGGTATGCAATTATTTCTGAGAAAAGGTACTAACCACTGCTACAACCTTGATAAACCTGCTGTTACTGAACGTTTATAGTATAGAAGGTTCTGTTGCATGCTATTGAACAGGAATGAATACTTAATTAATAACTGTGTAAAAGTCTGCATACACCTAATTCTGGTACAATATTAATAACATAATACTTATGTACTTAATTGCAAATTAACTGTTATCCTGAAGGAGCATGAGAGTATATTTTTTCTGCACATTTTCCAAAATAGGTTTCATTCTTTAGTTTCCCTTGCAGACTAAATGTTACACTTACAAATATATAACTACAATTAAAACCCTTTAAAATTGTATTACTGTTAAAATGTTATTGGGGTTTATTTATGAATCTGTCTAATCGATTTATTATTAAACAACCAGTAACATGCGTCTATATGTAGATACTGTACGCCAGTGATTCTCAAAACGACCAGCACATTTATCATGAGAAATGACTGCTCGTGCAACAAGGGCTAGGCAGGTGTTTTTAACCCATAACCCCTTTCGGTCTGAGAGCCGTGGTCCTGTCGCTCGTGACGGGTTCGGAACCTGCGCGATCTGTCGCGCGCGACCGGAGTCTGCAGCCCGAGGCGGTAGCGCGACACCCTGCAGATTCAACCACAGCTGAAACTTCACCCGCCAGGGCGCCCGTACTAAACCGATCAGCAATCTTGCTCATCGCATCAGTTTATCAATGCTAACATATAGTCTATGTGCAAAAACGATACCTTTCACTCGCATCAGGCTGTTGCAGTCATCATTAATAGAAGCTGTAGTAATAGTAGCTTATAACAGATTTCATGCTTTGGTAATTCTATTGCAGAATAAAAAAGCAGAAATACATTCCGCTAATACCAAAGTCACAGCATAAAGAAAGAGGTGAAGATACTAATTTAGCACGAATATGGGACGACCAGACCAGGATGAAGCGGAGCGGCTCCTGAGGGTCCCAGACAGGTGAGCGAGCCCGTGTCGTACCTGCAGGGTTGAAGGTGCTCGGTGCGGCGCTGGGAGGACGAGTCGCTGAGCCGCTGCTCACAGACTGAGAGCAGAGACGCGGGTGAGGCTGATTCACAGGAGGCTCATTTGAATAGAGCTTCAGACTTGATTCGGCAGAGCTTGTTACCACTGTGTTCAGTGTTTATCACGGGAGGAGGGAATAATGCCCAGGGGTTAATAAACTCGCCTTATATGGAGTAAATCTGCTTTTTTCCCAGCAAGAAGGCGTGGTAAAATATTTTGGAATGTGTATCTATTTCCGTGTTCAGAGATACTTGTGTGCAAATTTCTAGGAATCCTAATAAAGCTCCATAGCTTTGAAAATAGATTCTTGTTATTACTGTCATCGCACCGGCAACAGATTAAAAACTGGCAATCATCACTTTAATAATATGTACAGTAGATTTATGATATGCTATAGTATGTACTCATTGTAAGACCGGTTTACATTGTGGAATAAAGTGTATTTTGTTAAGAAATAATGCATTTCCACTTGTGCTGTCTTGGGCTTTGAGATGCTCGTGAAAGGTGCTTCATGCAATGAAGTTTATTCTAAGAAATAAAAAAAAACATACAGCAGATATTGGAATTCTGGGTAAAACGGGAAACATACGATTTAGATAAAAGAACTCCAGCAGTTGTGAAACTGACCATACAACTGGAGTAACTATTGTATCAGCATAACAAAACGGTAAAATAAAGGTAGCGAGAGAACTTTTTCCCCAAATACCTGAGATAGCATTTCCACTTGCTGCCGGTAGATGGAAGCAATGTGCTATCCCCCGGCCGTGAGTCACTGAAACGTCTGCAGGTGTTGCAGTGTCCAGATGGAATGAGTTTGCAGCCATTCGACAGAACAGGAATGGAGCAGGATTATTAAAGACTGGGGATTCTACAGGAGGTGGAAACTCCTTAAAGAGAAGGACATGACTGGGAACGGGAGAAAACAGTTTAAACCATTTTTCATTTATCTGGCTGAATGTTGAATGAGAAGAGGAAGGAAATTATACAGCATAGACCCAGAATCCATCTTTACAGAAGCCCTTCTCCTAATTTCCATCTTTACATAAATGAACAGAACTCTGCTGACAAATAACATTACATATACTGAACACAACACTTTCAACAGGAGGTCTCATCACCAGCTGTGTCAGTTCCCTCCTCCCTGCTTTAAACTCCTTATATTTTCATAATCCAAGGGCTGAACTGGTCTTGAGTCTCTGTGCTGTAGACCCTGAAAGACACCAAATCACAGACACACTGTCACACTGGGGCAGCTGTACTGAGCACAACACTGAGGACTGGATTAGACTGAACGAATAGATATAGTGTACTGAACACAACACTGATGTCACGACCACTAACCTGCCCAGACCAGCCCCCAAGAGGACTAATCAGTTCCAGCAGCAGGGTGATAATTACAAACGCTGCCGCACGAGTTAATTTCACATCAGACGCCTTACCGAGCGGCAGGCTGCATTATTTAAGCCTCCCTTACCCGCAGATCGCTGCTCGGTATTGAGTTCACTTCTTGTTGCTCTACCTAGCGTTTCTTTACCTTTTGCCTTACTGGAATTCTGACTACACCTTTTGCCTTCGGACTTCGGATCTCGTCTCGCCCCTTGGATCGTTTGCTACCTGTGACTAATTTTGGTTTTGACCCTGCCGCTCTCTTTTCGACCACGGATCTGTCTCACGTTCTGGATTGTTCGCCACCAGTGCCTTTACCGGGTCTCGACCTACCTTACCCCTTCGGACTACGACTCAGCTCCTGGTTTTGCTCTGTTCGCTTACTCACCTCCCAAGGACTCCTGCATCTGCATCAGATCCTTTTCACCTCTACCAAGCCTCGTTACAAATGAGGGCTGGATTAGACTGGGCTAATATATATACTGTACTGAACACAATCAGCTGTGAATATCTACAGCTGTCCTGCTACTGCCAGACTCACCCTCAGAGTGTCATAATCAGAAGACACAGCTCTCAAGTCCAGAGCTGTGTAAGTGTCACCGAGTGGGTCAGATTGGGCTCCCTGAGGAGAGAGACAGAGGGAGGAGCAGAGAAAGTCTTGTCTGATTAAATAGTAATATTAGAGAGGCTCAGATGGATGGATGGTGGCTTTATTGAACGATTCTTATTCCTATACTTATTGGTACTTTTAGAACACTATGTATATATATGGTTAGCAATTGAAATTACATTTAGTTTCTTAGAGACATGTAGAGCAGAAGTGTGAGGGTAAATATTCCTGCTCTAGACTGTGTTGAGAAAGATGGTCTTATTTGCTGGAGAGGAGGGATCAAGCAATTGTGCAGCAGAATGGCCATTTCTCTGTGATGACCTGTCCTCAGTTTGCATGTCCTCAGTGCAGACGCCTCCACAGCTGGCTGCTTGGACGGTGCTGTCTGGGACGAGCGTGATGCTCACTCTCAGATCAGCTCCTGCAGGCTCTTACCTCAGTCTGGGCTCCGCCAGTGCTGCTGTCCTGTGTGGGCAGGGCAGTCACCCTCCTGTAGAGGACAAGGGGTCAGTGGTGAAGTGGTCAGTGGGCTGAGAGACCAGCTGTAGCAGAGTGGACATGTCTACAGACTCGCTCACCTTCTGATCAATAGGATTATTAGGATGGCCAGCAACAACACTGCAACAGATCCCACCACTGCCACCAACACAGTAAACTGAGAGGAGCCTCTGGCTGGGAAACAAGACAATAGAGAGGTTTCCTTGTCTATATCATTTACATCAAGTCACAGATACAGGCATATGCACTCCCATGTAATTGACCTAGCATGCCAGAGACTTTTTGGGACAGAAGAGCACTAGTCATCTATAATGCTGGCAGTCCAACAGTGGAAGCACAGACAGATTCCGCTGACACTAATGTGTGAAATATGATTCAGCCCAATGTAGAGTTGAGAAAGTCCCTGGCCTGAATACTGAGTACTAACACAAACAGCAAAAGAATGGCAGTGACATTCATGAAAAATCTACCCACAGTTCTACCCACAACATGACCAATGTCTTTAGAAATACAGTAGAGGTGAAAAGTTCTCCATGTTTCTAAGATTTAAAAAGGAAAACCCCATTGGACTTACACACTAAAGCAAGAGTCACAGCAGCAGATCTGCGAGCTCCAATGTTATTCTGTGCTTCACAGTAGTACTGTCCACTGTCTGCAGACCTGACCTCTGCAATGGTTAAACTCTGCCCTGATTCCATCCTCCAGACTCCAGCATCACTGAGCTTAAACCAGGTGTAGTTCTTCACTGGAGGGTTTGCAGAGTTGCTGCAGGTCAGGGTGACAGAACTGCCTTCTGCTATTGCACCAGAGGGGCTGATGGACACTGAGGTG